CAAAGCGCGACTGTTGCCAACCCGGCATCTGGTGCATCCCCGGACCTGCTGCCGCACTTCCAGCTGGAGCCGGAGGATGTCTACATTGTGAAGAACAAGGCAGTGAGCCTGGCCTGCCGTGCAACCCCTGCCACCCAGATCTACTTCAAGTGCAATGGCGAGTGGGTGCACCAAGGTGACCACGTTACGCAGCACAGCACCGACCGCAGCACTGGTGAGCGCTGGCAGGAGGGGCGGTGCCAGTCCTACTCCAGGGAAGCCACGTGTGCCACTGTTGGCGGGGCTTGCCTGGGGCTGGGGACAGCGTGACAGCTCCCTGCATGCCAGTGTGACGTGCCACTATCCGGTCCCAGGGCTGCCAGTGATGGAAGTGCGCATCGAGGTCACCCGCCAGCAAGTGGAGAAGATCTTTGGGCTGGAGGAGTACTGGTGCCAGTGCGTGGCCTGGAGCTCCTCCGGCACCACCAAGAGCCAGAAAGCCTTCGTGCGCATCGCCTGTGAGTGTCTGCAGGTGTCTGGACAGAGTGCGGGGCGCTGGCCCCGGCCCCCATCTCACTCTTGTGCCTCCCCAGATCTGCGGAAGAACTTCGAGCAGGAGCCGTCAGCCAGGGAGGTCTCCATTGAGCAGGGCATCGTGCTGCCATGCCGCCCTCCCGAGGGCATCCCCCCCGCCGAGGTGGGTCCCTGCAGCTGGCCAGGATGGGATGTGGCTGAGGATGCCCCTCACCCAGGGCCACGATGTGTGTGATCCCAGGCAGGCACCCAGTGATGTCCCTGTGCCCTACAGGTGGAGTGGCTGCGCAATGAGGAGCTGGTGGACCCGGCACTGGATGCCAACGTCTATGTGACACCAGAGCACAGCCTGGTGCTGCGCCAGGCCCGCCTGGCTGACACGGCCAACTACACCTGTGTGGCTAAAAACATCGTGGCCCGTCGCCGCAGCGCCTCTGCTGCCATCACTGTGTACGGTACGGCTCCTCCACACCAGTCCCCACCATGCTGCCCTGGTGTCACTCTCCCTGTCCTGTCCCTCCCTGCATCCCCTTAGCGGCAGGGTGCTGACGGGTCCCTCTCCACCCAGTGAACGGCGGCTGGTCGACGTGGACACAGTGGTCAGGCTGCAGCACCAGCTGTGGACGGGGCTGGCAGAAGCGGAGCCGGACATGCACCAACCCCACACCCCTCAATGGGGGTGCTTTCTGTGAGGGCCAAAATGTTCAGAAAACCGCCTGCACCACCCTCTGCCCAGGTACCTGCCCTGCTCGGGGCACCGCCACCGCCCCGTCGTGCCAATGCTGCAATCCCCACTGCGCCCATCGCATTCCCTGTCCCCACCAGATGTTTTGTCCCCCAATTCCCCTGTGTGTCCGTCTCTGCCGGCCCCGGGGCAGGGAAGGAGGGTGGCAGCAGGGCGCTGACCCCAAGCTGTGCCTGCAGTGGATGGTGCTTGGTCGGAGTGGAGCAAATGGTCGGAGTGCGGGGCTGAATGCACCCACTGGCGCAGCCGCGAGTGCTCGGAGCCAGCGCCACGCAACGGAGGCCGGGATTGTCATGGCCCCGAGCTGGACACCCGCAACTGCACCTCGGAGCTCTGCAGCCACGGTGAGCATGGTGGGGGTGGCAGGGTTGTCCCCTGGAAGAGGAGACTGGGGGGGTGACCATGTGTGCTGATGGCCTGCCCCACACAGCTGCCTCCGGTGCAGAGGACGTAGCACTGTACGTGGGGCTGGTGGCCGTGGCCGTGTGCCTGGTGCTGCTGCTGCTGGTGGGGGTGCTGGTGTACTGCCGCAAGAAGGGGGGCCTGGACGCTGATGTGGCTGATTCCTCCATCCTCACCGCCGGCTTCCAGCCCGTCAGCATCAAACCCAGCAAGGCTGGTGAGTGAGTGTTGCAGGGACAGTGCACCCACACTGGGACACGGTGTCCCTTGGACCTGCAGGTGGCCATACCTGCCAGGGGGTCCCTGGGCTGGGGCTGTCTGCTACAGGGCATCCCTGGGTGGGGTTCTGTGCCCTGTGGGGTCCCTGGTCTTGAGTTGATTCTTTGCCTTATGGGATCCCTGAGTTAGGGACAAGGACTCTGTATCTTAAGAGTCCCTGACTGTGGGATCAGTGCTTTATGCCACATAGGGTCAGATCCCCAGTGTGGTGGCCGTGCCCTATGAGGACCTCACTATGGGGCAGGGACTGTGTGTCCCATGCCCTCTCAAGCTGACTGTGCCCATACACCGCTGGTGGGGACCCCCTGTTTCTGCCTTGCCCCAGCACCACAGTTGCTTGCTCTGTGCCGCAGACAACCCCAGCCTGCTCACCATCCAGCCAGACCTCAGCACCACCACCATGACCTACCAGGGCTCGCTCTGCCCACGCCAGGACGGCCCTGCCAAGCTCCAGCTGCCCAATGGGCACCTGCTGAGCCCGCTGGGTGCTGGACGGCACACGCTGCACCACAGCTCGCCCGCCGCCGAGGGTGCTGACTTCGTGGCCCGCCTCTCCACACAGAGCTACTTTCGCTCCCTGCCCCGCGGCACCAACAACATGGCCTATGGCACCTTCAACTTCTTGGGGGGCCGGCTCATGATCCCCAACACAGGTACAGCGGGGTGGGGATTCCAGAGCACTGCCCAGGCCAGGCAGGGTCCTCATGGGGCTCACCCCCTGCCTGTACCCCCATTCCCACCCAGGGATCAGCCTGCTCATCCCACCCGATGCCATCCCACGGGGGAAGATTTATGAGGTCTACCTGACCCTGCACAAGCAGGAGGAGGTGAGGTAGGTGCTGGGGCTGTCGGGGCACGGGGCTGTTGGAGTGGGTTCTGTCCTGACTCAGCTGCCCCCATCGCTGCCCCAGGCTGCCCCTGGCTGGCTGCCAGACGCTGCTGAGCCCCATCGTCAGCTGTGGCCCCCCTGGCGTCCTCCTCACCCGCCCTGCCATCCTGGCCATGGGGCACTGCGTGGAAGCCAGCGCTGAGAACTGGAGCATCCGGCTGAAGAAGCAGTCGTGTGAGGGCACATGGGAGGTGAGCAGGGGCAAGGGCTTTCAGGGATGGAGGAGGGACAGCCATGGCTGAGGTGCATCTCTGCCTGGGTGCCGCAGGATGTGCTGCAGCTGGGCGCTGAGCCGTGCACGGAGCTGTACTACTGCCAGCTGGAAGCGCAGGCTTGCTACGTGTTCACAGAGCAGCTGGGGCGCTTTGCCCTGGTCGGGGAGTCCCTCAGCATGGCGGCCTCCAAGCGCCTCAAGCTGGTCCTGTTCGCGCCGGCCGCCTGCCCCTCGCTCGAGTACAACATCCGCGTCTACTGCCTCAGTGACACCCAGGACGTCCTCAAGGTACCGGGGTCCCCAGCCTGCCCATCCCGGCTTGGAGCGAGAGCTGCGCTCCTGGTGTGCAGCATCTCCTGCCTGACTGCTGCTTGTGCTGGCAGGAGGTGATCCAGCTGGAGAAGCAGCTGGGAGGGCAGCTGATCGGAGCCCCCCGGGTACTGCACTTCAAGGACAGCTACCACAACCTGCGCCTCTCCATCCATGATATGCCCAGCTCCCTCTGGAAGAGCAAGCTCCTCGCCAGCTACCAGGTGAGGAGTCTGGTCGGTGTGTGGGGATGGGGATAAAGGTGTAGGGAGGTGTCTCTGCCTCTCTGATACGCCCAGCTCTGTCACCCCACTGCAGGAGATACCCTTCTATCACATCTGGAGCGGGCTGCAGCCCTTCCTGCACTGCACCTTCACTCTGGAGCGCCTGAGCACCAGCACCTGTGAGCTGGCCTGCAAGATCTGGGTCTGGCAGGTGGAGGGAGACGGGCAGAGCTTCACCGTCAACTTCAACATCGCCAAGGTGAGGGCAGGAGTGGGCCACTTCTGAGGGTGGCCATAGGATTGCCTCACATCCCTTTCTCCGCTGCTCGTGCTCTCCCCTAGGACACAAGGTTTTCAGACTGGCTGGTCCCCGACGAGGTGGGCACCCCGGCTCTGGTGGGCCCCAGTGCCTTCAAGATCCCCTTCCTCATCCGCCAAAAGATCATCAGCAGCCTGGACCCGCCAGGCACACGGGGAGCCGACTGGAGGACACTGGCACAAAAACTCAACCTTGACAGGTAATGCAGACTGAGGGCAGTGCTGGGGGATGGGGTGGCACGGTGGCTGGGAGCAGGGGTTCTGGCCTCATCCTGCACCTATGGATGGATGCTGGAATGCTGTGGGATCCTGGTAGAGGGCTGCTGCACAAGGTGAGGCTAGCACGGGGCTTGTAATGGGATGTGGAGCCATCTCTGTGCCCTGACATGGTCCCTCTGTCCCCTTCCAGCCATCTCAGCTTCTTCGCCTCGAAGGCCAGCCCCACAGCCATGATCCTCAACTTGTGGGAAGCACGGCACTTCCCCAATGGCAACCTCTCCCAGCTGGCTGCCGCCGTGGCCGAGGTCGGCAAGCAGGACGGTGCCCTCTTCTCTGAGGCTGAGTGCTGAGCATGGCACAGCAGGGGCTGTGGCCCAGGGGACCACCTCCGTGGGGCTAAGCGGGGCCCTGGCTGGCCCACCAGGCTCCTACTGCCCCACAGCGCACGAGAGAGGGCTGCCTGGCCCCCTTGGGAGGGCAGGATGCATCTGCCCTGTGGCAGTCAGGCCCCTCCAGCACTGTGGCAGCGGGACTCAGCCCAGCCCCGGGGGTCCCAGAGCCCCATGGTGGGGGACTGGGGGGCACTGGGTGTGCGTCGTGCGTGCGGTGCCGTCGTGCTGTCTGCGTGTGGGGCCGGGCGGCCCCGGGCCCCGTGCCGTGTTGTGTAAAGCCCGTTTTTTTAATTCTGTATTAAGTGCATTCAAGTATTTACACTTGGCCTTATGTACATAGCGGTGCCGCGGGCGGGGGGTCTGCCGGACGTGAATGTAAATAAATTCGATATATATTGCTACGTGGGGCTGTGCCCGGCCATGCGCTGCCCCACGGCCCTCGTGATCCCCCCCAGAGGTTGGAGGCGCAGACCAAAGAGCTTTATTGAGGTGCTGGCTATTGCATGGCGTTGGCATTGCGACTGGCCACAGCTGCCACGAGCGCAGCCCCTTTCCCTGAGCCATCCTCTGATAGCAGGAAGGACACGTTGCAGTTGGGCGCCAGGTCCTTCAGTGTCTTCTGGAGGTTTTGGGAGAAGCTAGGCAGGACAGGAGGGGAGGGTGAGGACTGATGCTCCCACCCTATGCACACCATGCCTCCCACCACAGACTCCTTCATAGGGCAAGGATGCCCCATGGGTTCCTGCCACCCTTGGTGCCACTCACCACGGGTGCAGCTTGTACAAGGTGCCATCCACCCCAACAGTGACAGACAGCTGTTCCAGGCCCCGATTCTCCCGCATCTTCTCCACCACAGCAGCCAAGCCAGCAGCGCAGAGCTGGGCTGCCCGCAGGGACACGGCCTGGCACACCTCGCGCATCAGCACGCTGTCCTCAAAGCTGGCATCGAGCTCCAGTTCGCTCAGGATGGCCCGTATCTGCCGCAGGGCCAGCCCGTTGCTGCTCCGGACCAGTGCCACTGTTAGCAGCCGAGTCCCTGTCCCCATCACTGTTCCCATCCCTTAAGCATCACTCTGCCTGTGCCACATCAGTGTAGCCTGGCCCCTCTCCTGAGGTTCTGATATCCCCACCCCTGGTTCAGGGAACCCATGGGAGTCCAACACTCACAGCTCGATGGTAGAGAGGAACTTGGTCTGGAAGATGTCCTTGGTCTGGAGCTTGGGGGAGGGTTTGCCTTGGAACAAGAGCTGTTTCTCTGTCATTACCAACAAGATCTGACGCACAATCTCACCCAGGTACATGCCACTGATGAGCTTCTCAAACCTACACAGGACACAGCCTCAGCTAGGCACAGCCACCCACTCCCAGACCCCTCTGCCCCAGGGCCCTCACCCACCTCTGCTTGCCTGGGTTGATGGTGGTTTCGTCCACCACCCTGTCGAAGTGGGTGAAGATGTGGTCTAGGCAGCCGTTGTCCCCAAAGGCCCCCCACTCCATGTTGATGCACATGCGGCCCTGGTCCCCCTCCACAGTGCCCACGTTCTTCATCTCCTCCATGTAACAGGCATTGGTCCCCGTCCCTGCAGGCCCCATGCTGGTGTCACCCCCATCACAGTTCTGGCAGAGGCATGTGGCCATGCCACATGGGGTAGAGGGGTGGTGAGGAGATGGGGGACCTCCTGGATGCAGAGGTGCTCCTCACCCACAATGAGGCCGATTTCACATTTGGGGTCATCATAACCACAGGCCATCATGGTTCCCACCGTGTCGTTGACCAGAGCCACCACCTGCATCCCTAAGTGCTGCCAAGCGGAGATGGGGACATGTGGTCTAGTGGCACTCAGCTCCTGGGGCTGACACTGCCGGGATACAAGGTGTACCCTGGGGACAGGGACAGGCCACCAGACACTCCCTACCTGTTTGCGCTGGGCAGCGTCCCGCAGCAGCTGGACAACGTCCTGTCCCACACAGCCGGAGGCACTGAAGCCTTTGGTCCAGGTCAGCAGCAGTGCCTGCAAGAGTGGCAGGAGCAGGGGCCAGGGCAGCTGCCTCGCACCACATCCTGGGGTCTTTCCCACCGTCCTGGTGCTGGACCCACTCCCTCACCTTATCCAGGCCCACTTGTTGGCAGGGAAAGGAGAAGGTGAAGCCGAGAGGCAGCCTCTCTGTCACCAGGTTCTGCTTCGTCTGGAAGTCCATGATGCAGTCAATGATGTGGTCAAAGAGCTGTGGATAATAGCTGTGGTCAGCACGGCCAAAGCTGGAGCAATGCTGGGAGGCCTCTCCCAGCCCCATCATGGCCCCATGGAGAGCAAGCAGGGAGGCAATGCCCACCCCCTCACCCCAGCCGCTGGTCACAGGTCCTCAGCCTCACCTCGGTGCCGGTGCCCTGCATAATGGCAACTGGGATGACGTAGATCTCACTGGCCATGCTGATGCCCTCCTCTGTCACACGCACCACCAGCACACGGAAATTGGTCCCCCCCAGGTCCAGCGCCAGAAAGTCACCTTGCTCTGTGGAGAGCCAGCATGGTGCATTAGCAGGGCCACGGCTTCCTCAGCACCCCATTCCCATTGTCCCCGTCCCTTACCGGTGCCATCGGGTGTGTGAGAAACGTAGGTGGGCAGCATGCGGACAGAGGCACTGGCATTGGTCTCCTTACACAGGCCCCGCTCCATCTCCTCCCTCATCAGTGCTTGGACTTTCTGCAGGTCAGCGTGGCTGAGCCGTAGTGGGGCCAGCACCTCGTCCACCTCACGGCGCTGGGCTGCCAGGCGCAAAGCCACTGCTGTCACCATGGCTGCCCCCCGCCCAGAGCCATCTCTCGAGGCCAGGAAGGTAGGTATGCACTCAGGAGCCAGTAGCTTTGACACATTTTGCAGGATCTCCTCAAACCTGCCAAGGATGAAGAAGAAAGCATGGGCTGGGTGTGAGGCATCCCATTGGGGGAGCACCCCACTGGGAGCTCTGTGTTCCTCATCACCTGAAGTAGCCTGTGCACAATTCTCCTTCCAACCCCACGTTGACCGTCAGCATCTCCATCTCCCGGGTCTGGCACATGTAGCTGAGGATGGCAGACAGCCCGGTGGCGTGGAGTGTGGCAGCACGCCCCACCACTGCCCGGCAGATCTGCTGCACCCGGCCGCAGTCTCGCTCGCTTGGCTGCAGCCCCAGAACCTCCAGAACCCTCTTCACGACAGTCATGCCCTCCTCGTTGCTAGAAGGCAGATAGATCACAGCCTTGTGGCATCTGCAGGTCCACCAGCTTGCAGCCAGGAACACCCATCAGTCACGCCCCATCCTCCCACCCATGGCAGCTCCTGGTCCTCAGACACTCACTTGACGATCTCCAGAACATGCTGCATTGTGAACACTCCCTTTTCCTTTAGGACACCAACATCAGTCCCAGTGAAGATAGCTTTCTCAGCGCTCAGGGCAATCAGCGTGTGCCGGATAATCTCCCCCAGGTACAGGCTGCCCACCATCTTCTCAAACCTGCGTGTGTTTGAGCCCACATGTGAGTCAGTCGTGCCTCCCTAGCAGCACCCCTTGTCTCTTTAAGAGCACCCAGGAGCATTGCAGGGGAAAATGTGCTCCTGTTGGTGGGGCCTGACATGCTCAGAGATAGATGGGGAGCCTGTCCTTTCTGGGGGAGACAGAGCACCTCTTCTCCCCAGGGTTGTTAGATTCCTCATCCACACTTTCATCATAGGGTGTGAAGACATCATTCAGGGTGCCATCATCCCCAAAGCAGCCCCACTCAGTGTTGACACACATCCTCCCGCTGGTCTCGTCTGTTGTTTCCACCAGGTGTGCCTCAGCCATGAAGCAACAGTTGGAGCCCTTGTCTGCAAGAGTGATGGGGCTGAGCACCAGCACGGCCCCCCCAGCACCCACCGCCATGGCACGCGGGGTGCCCAAGTCTCACCTGCAACCATGGCGATCTCACATGGTCTCCCCTCCGTGCTGCAGGTCATCATGGTGCCCACAGTGTCATTCATCAGGGCAACAACGTCCACGTGGCAGAGCTGGCGGGGAGTAAATTGAGAGGATTTCCAGCCCCTAAACGGGGACAGCCAATGGCCTTCTGTCCCATTGGCCCCCACCTCCTGCTTATTGATGGCTGCCTGCAGCAGCTGCACCACGTCCTTCCCCACCACACCACTGCAGCTGAAGCCCTTAGACCAGGAAAGGAGTTCTGCCTGTGGAGAGCATGAGGCAGAGCCATTGGCACCAGGATGGTTCCTCTCCCCACTGCTGCTGTGCTGTAGTCACAGCCTGGGACAGGGCTCTCCCCCTCACCTTGTCCAGCTGTGTCTGCCGGCAGCTGAAGGGGAACACAAAGCCCAAGGGGAGGCTTTGGAGTTCCTCAGATTGAGCGGCGTCAGGGCTGATGGTCTCGGCCAGGAACTGGGACACACATTGTGCAATGAAGTCAAAGAGCTGCAAAGTCATGACTGGGGGTAAGGACTGCTTGCTTTATCTAGTATCCAGGCTGTGGAAGGCAGCCTGGAGCTCCAGCACCAGCCACCCTTTGCCACGGCCTCCTCATACCGCTTCCCCCTCGCCCTGCATGATGCCCTCTGGCATGTCAAAGATCTTGTACATCATGTGGGGGCTCATGTTTCCATCTCCGTAGAGGGTCACCAACAGGGTCCGAATCTGGTTCTGGCACAGCTCCACCACCAGAAAGTTTCCCTTCTCTATGGGAGAACAGAGGCAGTGTCAGGCAGAGACCTTGCCTGTGGCAGGTCTCCTAAAATCTGTTCCTTGCCCTGTCCCAGGGACAGTTGCTCACTCATGGGAGAGGCTCCTGAGAGCCTGAGACTTGCAGAGAGACCAAGGGAATAAGCTTCTGGCTACTGCCCCTTCACTGGGAAGTGGCAGAGGAGAAGCTTACAGACCACATAACTGATCCAAGAGTGGTTTACCTCTCCCCAGCACCCCCAGGGCTGACTCCAGTGAGGTGTGCAGGGCTGCCGGTAGAACAGTTCATCCTCAGGCTGGGCTGCCTTACCAGTGCCATTGGGAGTGGCGCAGATGTAGGTGGGCAGCATCCGCACTTTGGCCCGTGCATGTGTCTGACGGCTCAGCCCCTTGCACATGTCCTGCATCATGTGGCCCTTCATAACATGCAGCCTCTCCAGTGGAATGCTGAATGATCGCAGGGCTCGTTGTATCTGGGGATGGTGCATTAGGGCAGAGGGGCAGAGGCAAAGGGCAGGGAGTGACTGGAGCAGGGGTGGGCCTTACCGGTGTGGTGAGGGAACTATCACGGCGCTGGCTCAGAGGGCTCACTGAGACCCTGCATGGAGAGAGGTGGCGTGTCACCCACTGAGCTCTGGTCTGCAGGACGGGACGAGCGCCTGCCCTTGCCCAGGCACACAGTGGGGTTGGGGGGCCTGTACCCAGCTCTGCTCCCACCTGGTGTCTACCTCCATGCTCATTAATGGGTCCATATTTTCGTCCCTGTGCAGTATCTTCACACTGCCTCTGCGGTCGTGGAGGAGGCAGCTCTGCCCCATCACGGTCATTGGGCCAAGCACGGGGGCAGTGGAAGGAGAAGGGCCCCTAAACACGCAAGAGGCCAGAGGCTGATGTCTCTCCCCTGTAACAGCCTGAGGATCTGGGGATCCCATCCCCAGCCCCACAGCAGTCTCTGCAAAGCAGGAGCTGCTCACCAGTCACGTACTCGCTGTTCCGCTCGTCCGCGCCCGAACTTCGCCTTTGGTCTGGTCTGTTATGTTGGATCTTGGGTCGGGTGTTGCGGCTGCTCATGGTGGCGGGGTAGGGGCTGGTGTATGGGCCGGTGTGTGGGGCAGGTGTATGGGCCGGTGGTGGCCGGTGATGGCCGGGGCCGGTGTGTGGGGCCGGTGTGTGGGGCCGGTGTGTGGGGCCGGTGT